GATAGATAGATAGATAGATAGATAGATAGATAGATAGATAGATAGATAGATAGATAGATAGATAGATAGATAGATAGATAGATAGAGAGAGAGAGAATTTTCCCCGAAATTAATAAAAAAAACTAAACAATTATATCTTAGCAAAAGTACTTGTGTTTTTGTTTTTGTTTTTCCTGTTGCTTTGGTGGTACACTACAGTTATATGTATGTATTTATTTATTTATTGATTTGGACCAATCTTAAAATATTTTGTTTATATGTGTATTTGTTCGACCGGAGGGGCGGGGCCTCCTGGAATGAAAGGTGATAAGGTGATTTAAATATTTCTATTATTGCAGCGAACAAGTGAACTTATAAGGTTAATGTGTTGGAGAAATGGACTAACATGTCTATACAGATGATCCATATAGGAAGTGTTCGGCGTACACTAGCAGTCAAAAAAGTTTCAGCACACTTAGTTTTATTAGAAATATAAGTTTTTGTCATGAAACCCTAACCCGGTCTTATTTACAATAGTGTACAAAATAACAAAAAATAATTATTAAAAAGTGTATAGGTATATTAAAAAAACAATAACTAACAAAAAAGACCAAAACACACAAAAAAAAATTACAGAAGCTTTAAAATTAAAATTAAAATTGAAAATACAAAAATAAAAACGAATTCAAAATATAAAAAAAATATAGAATGGTATCTAGATGAAGAAAACACACACACACACATATAATATTATAATATAATAGTATAATAATAGTAATGTATTAATATATATACAGCAATATAATATATATTATATATATATAAAATAATAAAGAACCTTAAACTTATTTTATTTCAGCGAGTTGCCTGCAACATTTCTCAATTTATTTTAACTTGATGTACTAAAGTAGCTAAAATTAAAACTGAAATAAAAAATGTAAAAACATAAATAATAATAATGACAAAAACTTTTAACTAAAATGTAAGTACAAAAATAAAAACGAATTCAAAATACAAAAAAATCTGTACAAGTATCTCAATGATACTAAATGATCACTGGCTGGAATCTAAACGAAGAAAAAGCTCAAATATGAGAGAGTTTTTATTTGCGTCGTAAGTTTTCATCGCTACATCATTCCCAGACTCTCATTTGTGTTATTTCATCACTGCAGTATTATTCTAGCATGTGCAAACTCATGACTGCTGCTGTATATGTACAGTATGAATGCATACATGAGATCAGTTCAGGCTTGCTGTGTTCTGTATTCTATAATCCTGATGCTGTATGATTCAGGGTGAACCTGGATTGAGGGGTGAGCCGGGAGAAACTGGTTATCAGGGTGACAAGGTGAGCGTCAAGGTTAAACAGAGTGTTTTCTAAGGTTTATATGGTCATGAAATATTGTCTGTCTGTTGAGGGTCTTGGAGACATTTGTACACTGATTAGTATATTCCCTCATCGTCTGCTGACTCAAAAGTTTGGTGCGTGATGTAAGAATGGAAATCTGCTCCAGGAAACTCTAAAATGCACTATTTACACCTTTAAGATTTATGCATTTGAATTGCATATTAAATTCCATCCATTTGCATTTCACAGTTTTAACATATACTAATAAACTAATAAACTTTGTGATGCATGTTGGTCAGTTATACATAAAAGAAACAGGTCAGATTTCTGCTCTCAAAAAAAAAACATGGCATAGTTTATTATTAACTATTTGCGTCTATTTAAATAATCTTTTTTTTTTATATATATATATTACATGTTTAATATTTTTATATTTGGCATAGTTTATTCTTATTTTATATATTTCAGTATTTTATGCTAAAATCAAAAGAAATTTAATTTGTTATATAACAAAGCAATTAATTTTTAGGAAGCACTCTTACAGTATTTCTTAATGTAATGCCAAAAATACAAATCTCATTATCATATATATATACACTGTAAAAAAAATTCCGTAAAATTTATGGTAAAAAAACGGCAGCTGTGGTTGCCGGAATTTTACCGTAATAACTACAGTAGCAACGTTTTATGGTTTTAACTTAAATTTACAGTAAGATACCATAATTTCATTAACTGATATAATGTTAATATACCAACCTATTGAAGTACTGAAATCTGTTTTGTAGCTTTGTAATACACTGATAACCACCAAATGCAGGAGGTGATGAGAAAGTCACATGATGAACCAAATCCCATCACAAGCAGCTTTTAGATAATAACATATATAGAAGGAGCACAGTGTGTCATTCACACAAACACTAAACACCATCACGGTAACACACATGAAACTGAAATAATGCAATAAACATTCATTTAACAACATTAGGTGTAACACACAACCCTAATATACAAAACTGATAAGAAAAACCTAAGAAGAAACATAGTTATTTCAACAAAAAAACATCAAATTTGAAATGTAACGCAGGGAATTCTGAGAATGTCAATTTACGGTTATTCACTGTAAATTATACGGTCTTTTTCACTTCCAAAAACGGTATACTACCGTAAAATTAATGTCCAATA